CCCGGCCCAGCAAGCAACGCCTGCGCCAGAGGGGGGATCCTGCGGGAGAGGGTCTTCGGGACCGACCTGGCGAACATCTGCTGGACTCCGGAGAGGAAGGTGACGCTGAAACCCCCCCAATCGCTAAAAACACGATAAAACGTAGTGTGGGTCTCTGCCCCTCCCACATGGGGAGATTTCCCTCCAGTAGTTTGTTTCTGCCCCTCCCACAATGGGGAGATTTCCCTTCCAGTAGTTTGTTTCTGTCCCTCCCACAATGGGGAGATTTCCCCCCCAATAGGTTGTGTGTCTGCCCCCCCCACAATGGGGAGGTTTCCCCCCTTTAATTTGTCTCTCTGCCCCTCCACAATGGGGAGATTTTACCCCCAGTAGCTTGTGCCTCTGCCCCCCCACAATGGGGAGATTTCCCCCCAGTAATTTTGTCTCTGCCCCTCCCACAAATGGGGAGATTTACCCCCAGTAGCTTGTGTCTCTGTCCCACCCACAATGGTGAGATCCCCCCTTTTAGGTTGTGTCTCTGCCCCTCCTACAGTTGTGAGATTACCCCGTTAGGTTGTGTCTCTGCCCCTCCCATAATGGTGAGATTCCCCTGTTAGGTTGCGTCTCTGCCCCTCCCATAATGGTGAGATTCCCCGTTAGGTTGTGTCTCTGCCCCTCCCACAATGGTGATATTACCCCCTTAGGTTGTGTCTCTGCCCCTCCCACAATGGTGAGATTCCCCCGTTAGGTTGTGTCTGCCCCTCCATAATGGTGAGGGATTCCCCTGTTAGGTTGTGTCTGCCCCTCCATAATGGTGAGATTACCCCCTTAGGTTGTGTCTCTGCCCCTCCCACAATGGTGAGATTCCCCCGTTAGGTTGTGTCTGCCTCTCCATAATGGTGAGATTCCCCTGTTAGGTTGTGTCTGCCCCCTCCATAATGGTGAGATTCCCCCGTTAGGTTGTGTCTGCCCCTCCATAATGGTGAGATTCCCCCATTAGGTTATATGTCTCTGCCCCTCCATAATGGTGAGATTCCCCTGTTAGGTTGCGTCTCTGCCCCCCCACAATGGTGAGATTCCCCCGTTAGGTTGTGTCTGCCCCCTCCACAATGGTGAGATTACCCCGTTAGGTTGTGTCTCTGCCCCTCCCATAATGGTGAGATTCCCCTGTTAGGTTGCGTCTCTGCCCCTCCCACAATGGTGAGATTCCCCCATTAGGTTGTGTCTCTGCCCCTCCCACTGTGGCTTTGTATTTGGTGTAGTAGTTGTGCAGAACTCTAATAGGGAGATCTCACCACCAGAGTCCCCAAGACATAAAGTACAAGAAGCTAACGTGTTTTCCAGCGATCACCCTGAAATATTGCTTTGTGGTGGACATGCCCTTTAAATGTCATTCATTTTCCATCTGTTCTTCTGTCCAGATCTGACGTCTTCTTTTTCTCTCTCAGTGCCCAGAGTCCTCGCCTCCTGCGCCCAGTTCATAGAGAAGTACGGGATCGTGGACGGCATCTACCGCTTGTCTGGGGTCTCCTCCAACATCCAGAAGCTGCGGTCAGTTGATATTACTTTCCTCCGATATATCTCGTACAATGGGAGATTCCCCCCAATAGTTTGTGTATCTGCCCCTCCCACACTGGGGAGATTTCCCTCCAGTAGTTTGTGTGTCTGCCCCTCCCACAATGTGGAGATTTCCCTCCAGTAGTTTGTGTGTCTGCCCCTCCCACAATGTGGAGATTTCCCTCCAGTAGGTTGTGTCTCTGCCCCTCCCACAATGAGGAGATTTCCCGCATTAGTTTGTGTCTTTACCCCTCCCACAATGGGGAGATTCCCCCCAGTAGTTTGTGTCTCTGCCCCTCCCACAATGGGGAGATTTCTCTCAGTATTTGTGTCTCTGCCCCTCCCACAACGGGGAGATTTCCCTCCAGTAGTTTGTGTGTCTGCCCCTCCCCACACTGGGGAGATTTCTCTCAGTATTTGTGTCTCTGCCCCTCCCACAACGGGGAGATTTCCCTCCAGTAGTTTGTGTGTCTGCCCCTCCCACACTGGGGAGATTTCTCTCAGTATTTGTGTATCTGCCCCTCCCACAACAGGGAGATTTCCCTCCAGTAGTTTGTGTGTCTGCCCCTCCCACACTGGGGAGATTTCCCTCAGTAGTTTGTGTCTCTGCCCCTCCCACACACTGGGGAGATTTCCCTCCAGTAGTTTGTGTCTCTGCCCCTCCCACAATGTGGAGATTTCCCTCCAGTAGTTTGTGTCTCTGCCCCTCCCACAATGGAGATTTCCCGCATTAGTTTGTGTCTTTACCCCTCCCACAATGGGGAGATTCCTCCCAGTATTTGTCTGCCCCTCCCACAATGAGGAGATTTCCCTCCAGTAGGTTGTGTCTTTGCCCCCCCGCAATGGGGAGATTCCTCCCAGTATTTGTGTCTGCCCCGCCCACGGATAGAAGTCGCCTTGAAGTAGCTCAGGAACCTTTTCTACAGTCGGAGTGACTTCAGTCGTGCTAACTAAGTCTCGGTTTACACCACCGCTGCCGGAAAGTCGCACAAAACTGCGAAAGGAAACTTGAGTACTACTTTGAAGCGACTCTGAAGAAACTCAGGGAATGCTGGGTAATCCTCCTGTCATGTCGGATCCAAATCACATCAATATAGAGGAGGATCCGACTTGGAGGCGACTTCCATTAAAGTCTATGGGCACAAGTCGGTTAAAAATCACACATCAATATGGATGAGGATCCGACTTGGAGGCGACTTCCATTAAAGTCTATGGGCACAAGTCGGATAGAAGTCTCCTTGAAGTAGCTCAGGAACCTTTTCTGAAGTTGGAGCGACTTCAGTAGTGCTAATTAAGTCTTGGTTCACACCACTGCTACCTGAAAGTCGAACGACTTGCAGTACGACTTTGCCAGGAAAAGTTGAGTACTACTTTGAAGCGACTCTGAAGCAGCTTTCAGGAAAGGCTGGGTAATCCTCCTGTAATGTCGGCTCCAAATCACATCAATATAGATGAGGATCTGACTTGGAGGCGACTTCCATTAACGTCTATGGGCACAAGTCAGGTAGAAGTCACACATCAATATAGAGGAGGATCTGACTTGGAGGCGACTTCCATTAAAGTCTATGGGCACAAGTCAGGTAGAAGTCACACATCAATATAGAGGAGGATCTGACTTGGAGGCGACTTCCATTAAAGTCTATGGGCACAAGTCGGGATAGAAGTCGCACATCAATATAGAGGAGGATCTGACTTGGAGGCGACTTCCATTAAAGTCTATGGGCACAAGTCGGATAGAAGTCGCCTTGAAGTAGCTCAGGAACCTTTTCTAAAGTCGGAGCGACTTCAGGAGTGCTAATGAAGACGGCTCTCATTGACTAACATGGGAATTCACATGTCATGCGACTTGGGGGTCTCACAAGTTGGATCCCAAGTTGCAGCAGTGTGACCCGAGCCCTATGAGGTAGTCAGCAGCGAGGTGTGAGGCACGGAGCACTTTGTGCCTCGGGGGTGTTCCGGGTCTCCAGGTGGATGGATGGGCTCGGTTCTCACAATGATGGCTACAAATAGCCGTATTCTCCCTCCACCTTCTATACAGATGTGAGGAGTGTTGGGTCATCCAGATGTGAGGAGTGTTGGGTCATCCAGATGTGAGGAGTGTTGGGTCATCCAGATGTGAGGAGTGTTGGGTCATCCAGATGTGAGGAGTGTTGGGTCATCCAGATGTGAGGAGTGTTGGGTCATCCAGATGTGAGGAGTGTTGGGTCATCCAGATGTGAGGAGTGTTGGGTCATCCAGATGTGAGGAGTGTTGGGTCATCCAGATGTGAGGAGTGTTGGGTCATCCAGATGTGAGAGTGTTGGGTCATCCAGATGTTCAGTTCTCAGACATCCGGGCTAAGGCGATGGAGAGGATTAGCCGGCAGTTTTCTGACAAAGATATAAAATAACATGAAGGAGGAACTTCGCTACAATCGTGTCCTAGATTTCTATTTCTGGAAAACTGAACGCCATCGCGAGGAATACTCATCACCATTACTAGAGGAATCGTCCATCTCCTCCTCTCCTGAAATACTCTGCACTGCTGGAGGACTCCGCTCCTTCCTCTATAACTCCTCTCCTGAAATACTCTGCGCTGCTGGAGGACTCCTCTCCTTCCTCTATAACTCCTCTCCTGAAATACTCTGCACTGCTGGAGGACTCCGCTCCTTCCTCTATAACTCCTCTCCTGAAATACTCTGCGCTGCTGGAGGACTCCTCTCCTTCCTCTATAACTCTCCTCTCCTGAAATACTCTGCACTGCTGGTGGACATCTGTATGTTGTATACTCAGTGGGTTGTCGGGATTTCTGTGTGTAATTTGTTGTGTATTATGTCTCTCTCTCTCTCTGCGCCCCCCCTGAGTCTCTCTCTCTCTCTGCGCCCCCCCTGAGTCTCTCTCTCTCTGCGCCCCCCCTGAGTCTCTCTCTCTCTGCGCCCCCCCTGAGTCTCTCTCTCTCTCTGCGCCCCCCCTGAGTCTCTCTCTCTCTGCGCCCCCCCTGAGTCTCTCTCTCTCTGCGCCCCCCCTGAGTCTCTCTCTCTCTCTGCGCCCCCCCTGAGTCTCTCTCTCTCTGCGCCCCCCCTGAGTCTCTCTCTCTCTGCGCCCCCCCTGAGTCTCTCTCTCTCTGCGCCCCCCCCTGAGTCTCTCTCTCTCTGCGCCCCCCCTGAGTCTCTCTCTCTCTGCGCCCCCCCTGAGTCTCTCTCTCTCTCTGCGCCCCCCCTGAGTCTCTCTCTCTCTCTCTGCGCCCCCCCTGAGTCTCTCTCTCTCTCTCTGCGCCCCCCCTGAGTCTCTCTCTCTCTCTCTGCGCCCCCCCTGAGTCTCTCTCTCTCTCTCTGCGCCCCCCCTGAGTCTCTCTCTCTCTCTGCGCCCCCCCTGAGTCTCTCTCTCTCTGCGCCCCCCCTGAGTCTCTCTCTCTCTGCGCCCCCCCCCCTGAGTCTCTCTCTCTCTGCGCCCCCCCTGAGTCTCTCTCTCTCTGCGCCCCCCCTGAGTCTCTCTCTCTCTGCGCCCCCCCTGAGTCTCTCTCTCTCTGCGCCCCCCCTGAGTCTCTCTCTCTCTCTCTGTCGCCCCCCCTGAGTCTCTCTCTCTCTCTGCGCCCCCCCCTGAGTCTCTCTCTCTCTCTGCGCCCCCCCCTGAGTCTCTCTCTCTCTCTGCGCCCCCCCTGAGTCTCTCTCTCTCTCTCTCTCTCTGCGCCCCCCCTGAGTCTCTCTCTCTCTCTGCGCCCCCCCCTGAGTCTCTCTCTCTCTGCGCCCCCCCTGAGTCTCTCTCTCTCTGCGCCCCCCCTGAGTCTCTCTCTCTCTCTCTCTGCGCCCCCCCTGAGTCTCTCTCTCTCTCTCTCTGCGCCCCCCCTGAGTCTCTCTCTCTCTCTCTCGCTGCCCCCCCCTGAGTCTCTCTCTCTCTCTCTGCGCCCCCCTGAGTCTGAGTCTCTCTCTCTCTCTCTGCGCCCCCCCTGAGTCTCTCTCTCTCTCTCTCTGCGCCCCCCCTGAGTCTCTCTCTCTCTCTCTGCGCCCCCCCTGAGTCTCTCTCTCTCTCTCTGCGCCCCCCCTGAGTCTCTCTCTCTCTGCCCCCCCCTGAGTCTCTCTCTCTCTGCGCCCCCCCTGAGTCTCTCTCTCTCTGCGCCCCCCCTGAGTCTCTCTCTCTCTGCCCCCCCCCTGAGTCTCTCTCTCTCTGCGCCCCCCCCTGAGTCTCTCTCTCGCCCCCCCTGAGTCTCTCTCTGCGCCCCCCCCCGAGTCTCTCTCTCTCTCTCTGCGCCCCCCCCCCCGAGTCTCTCTCTCTCTGCGCCCCCCCCCCCGAGTCTCTCTCTCTCTGCGCCCCCCCCCCCCGAGTTTCTCTCTCTCTGCGCCCCCCCCCCTGAGTCTCTCTCTCTGCGCCCCCCCCCCTGAGTCTCTCTCTCTGCGCCCCCCCCCCCCTGAGTCTCTCTCTCTCTGCGCCCTCCCCCTGAGTCTCTCTCTCTCTCGCGCCCTCCCCCTGAGTCTCTCTCTCTCTCTCTCTGCGCCCCCCCTGAGTCCTCTCTCTCTCTCTCTCTCTCTGCCCCCCCCCTGAGTCTCTCTCTCTCTGCGCCCCCCCTGAGTCTCTCTCTCTCTGCGCCCCCCGAGTCTCTCTCTCTCTGCGCCCCCCCCTGAGTCTCTCTCTCTCTGCGCCCCCCCCTGAGTCTCTCTCTCTCTGCGCCCCCCCCTGAGTCTCTCTCTCTCTGCGCCCCCCCCCTGAGTCTCTCTCTCTCTCTGCGCCCCCCCTGAGTCTCTCTCTCTCTCTGCGCCCCCCCTGAGTCTCTCTCTCTCTCTCTGCGCCCCCCCTGAGTCTCTCTCTCTCTCTCTGCGCCCCCCCCCCTGAGTCTCTCTCTCTCTGCGCCCCCCCCCCCCCGAGTCTCTCTCTCTCTCTGCGCCCCCCCCCCCGAGTCTCTCTCTCTCTGCGCCCCCCCCCCCGAGTCTCTCTCTCTCTGCGCCCCCCCCCCCCCGAGTCTCTCTCTCTCTGCGCCCCCCCCCCGAGTCTCTCTCTCTCTGCGCCCCCCCCCCCCCCCCGAGTCTCTCTCTCTCTGCGCGCCCCCCCCCCCCGAGTCTCTCTCTCTCTCTGCGCCCCCCCCCCCTGAGTCTCTCTCTCTCTGCGCCCTCCCCCTGAGTCTCTCTCTCTCTGCGCCCCCCCCTGAGTCTCTCTCTCTCTGCGCCCCCCCTGAGTCTCTCTCTCTCTCTGCGCCCCCCCTGAGTCTCTCTCTCTCTCTGCGCCCCCCCTGAGTCTCTCTCTCTCTCTGCGCCCCCCCTGAGTCTCTCTCTCTCTGCGCCCCCCCTGAGTCTCTCTCTCTCTGCGCCCCCCGAGTCTCTCTCTCTCTGCGCCCCCCCCCCTGAGTCTCTCTCTCTCTGCGCCCCCCCCTGAGTCTCTCTCTCTGCGCCCCCCCTGAGTCTCTCTCTCTCTCTGCGCCCCCCCTGAGTCTCTCTCTCTCTCTCTGCGCCCCCCCTGAGTCTCTCTCTCTCTCTGCGCCCCCCCTGAGTCTCTCTCTCTCTCTGCGCCCCCCCTGAGTCTCTCTCTCTCTCTGCGCCCCCCCTGAGTCTCTCTCTCTCTCTGCGCCCCCCCTGAGTCTCTCTCTCTCTCTGCCCCCCCCCCGAGTCTCTCTCTCTCTCTGCGCCCCCCCCGAGTCTCTCTCTCTCTGCGCCCCCCCCCGAGTCTCTCTCTCTCTGCGCCCCCCCCGAGTCTCTCTCTCTCTCGCCCCCCCCCCCCCGAGTCTCTCTCTCTCTCTGCGCCCCCCCCCCCCCCCCCGAGTCTCTCTCTCTCTGCTGCGCCCCCCCCCCGAGTCTCTCTCTCTCTGCGCCCCCCCCCCCCCCCCCGAGTCTCTCTCTCTCTGCGCCCCCCCCCCCCCCGAGTCTCTCTCTCTGCGCCCCCCCCCCCCGAGTCTCTCTCTCTCTGCGCGCCCCCCCCCCCGAGTCTCTCTCTCTCTGCGCCCCCCCCCCTGAGTCTCTCTCTCTCTGCGCCCCCCCCCCCCCCGAGTCTCTCTCTCTCTGCGCCCCCCCCCCCCCCCGAGTCTCTCTCTCTCTGCGCCCCCCCTGAGTCTCTCTCTCTCTGCGCCCCCCCCTGAGTCTCTCTCTCTCTGCGCCCCCCCCCTGAGTCTCTCTCTCTCTCTGCGCCCCCCCTGAGTCTCTCTCTCTCTGCGCCCCCCCCTGAGTCTCTCTCTCTCTCTGCGCCCCCCCTGAGTCTCTCTCTCTCTCTGCCCCCCCCCGAGTCTCTCTCTCTCTCTGCCCCCCCCCCGAGTCTCTCTCTCTCTGCGCCCCCCCTGAGTCTCTCTCTCTCTGCGCCCCCCCTGAGTCTCTCTCTCTCTGCGCCCCCCCTGAGTCCCCCCGAGTCTCTCTCTCTCTGCGCCCCCCCTGAGTCTCTCTCTCTCTGCGCCCCCCCCGAGTCTCTCTCTCTCTCTGCGCCCCCCCCGAGTCTCTCTCTCTGTGCCCCCCCCGAGCCTCTCTCTCTGTGCCCCCCCTGAATCTCTCTTCTTTTGTTTGCAGACATGAGTTTGACAGCGAGCGGATCCCCGATCTCTCCCGAGACACCTACCTCCAGGATGTCCATTGCGTCAGTTCTCTGTGCAAACTTTACTTCCGAGAGCTGCCCAACCCCCTACTCACCTATCGCCTCTATCACCCCTTCACTGTGAGTGGACGACTGAAGCAATAATGGCCTTAAATATGTTGTACATGAGTATTGACCTGGGGACTCTGCACAGGGATGGTGGGAACCCCTCATAATGGGCTCAGCAGGTGTACAGACCCGGGAACTCAGCACAGGGATGGCGGGAACCCCTCATAATGGGCACAGCGGGCGTACACAGACCCGGGAACTCAGCACAGGGATGGCGGGAACCCCTCATAATGGGCACAGCGGGTGTACAGACCCGGGAACTCAGCACAGGGATGGCGGGAACCCCTCATAATGGGCACAGCGGGTGTACAAAGCTGGGAACTCGGCACAGGAATGGTGGGAACCCCTCATAGTTCACTCATAGCACCAGACATTAGCTGCATGGTTCCTCCGAGATCATTCAAGAGCCAGTATGAGGGTGATGGAAGAAGATGGGTAATTAAAACCATTTCCAATTTTTAAATCCCTTTCAGGAAGCCATGTCGGCCACGGGAGAGGAGGAGAAGCTGATCCGTGTCCATGACTTAATCCAGCAGCAGCTCCCGCCTCCACATTATAGGTGAGCAAAATATTTTTCGATGCGTACCAGGCCAACGAGGGGCGGAGTCATGCTGATCATTCCTTTGCACCCCGTGGTCAAGGATCGCGGGGGAACGCACTGAATGTATATCATCGCAAGGGGTGCTGAAGGGGGTCTTTTGATGCTGGGTGCTGGGGGATCTATTGTTGCTGGAGGGGATCTATTTTTATCAGTGGGCCTGTTGTTGTCAGGGTGGTCTATTGCTTCTGGGGGGGAGTCTTATATTGCTGGGGGGTCAGTCATGACTGGGAGGGATCTACTGTTGAGGGAGAGGTCTATTGTTGCTGGCTGTTGGAAGTCTATTGTTCCTGGGGTAGATCTATTGTTAGCTGAAGGGGATCTATTGTATTGCCTTTCTTGTTATCAGCAGTAAATTCCATGAAAATTACTTTTTCTTAAAAAGAAGCTGTATTGGGAGGGGGGATAGGGGGTGGAACCAAGGAACGATGCTAATAGGTGGGTAGGGGGGGGGGGGGCCAGGAACAATGCTAATAGGTGGGTAGGGGGTGGAACCAAGGAATGGTGCTCATAGGTGGGTAGGGGGTGGAACCAAGGAATGGTGCTCATAGGCGGGTAGGGGGTGGAACCAAGGAATGGTGCTCATAGGCAGGTAGGGGGTGGAACCAAGGAATGGTGCTCATAGATGGGTAGGGGGTGGAACCAAGGAATGGTGCTCATAGGTGGGTAGGGGGTGGAACCAAGGAAGGGTTCACATAGGTGGGTAGGGGTGGAACCAAGGAACGTTGCATCATAGGTGGGTAGGGGGGTGGAACCAAGGAAACGTTGCTCATAGGTGGGTAGGGGGGTGGAACCAAGGAACGGTGCTCATAGGTGGGTAGGGGGTGGAACCAAGGAACGGTGCTCATAGGTGGGTAGGGGGTGGAACCAAGGAATGGTGCTCAGAGGTGGGTATAGGGGGTGGAACCAAGGAACGGTGCTCATAGGTGGAACCAAGGAATGGTGCTCATAGGTGAGTAGGGGGGGTGGAACCAAGGAAGGGTTCACATAGGTGGGTAGGGGGTGGAACCAAGGAACAGTGCTCATAGGTGGGTAGGGAGTGGAACCAAGGAACGTTGCTCATAGGTGGGTAGGGGGTGGAACCAAGGAACGGTGCTCATAGGTGGGTAGGGGGTGGAACCAAGTAACGGTGCTCATAGGTGGGTAGGGGGTGGAACCAAGTAAGGTGCTCATAGGTGGGTAGGGGGTGGAACCAAGGAACAGTGCTCGGTACATGGGTGGAACCAAGGAATGTGCTCATAGGAGGGTAGGGGTGGGACCAAGGGACGGTACTCATAGGTGGGGGGTGGAACCAAGGGACGGTGCTCATAGGTGAGTAGGGGGTGGAACCAAGGAACGGTGCTCATAGGTGGGTAGGGGGTGGAACCAAGGAACGGTGCTCAGAGGTGGGTAGGGGGTGGAACCAAGGAACGGTGCTCAGAGGTGGGTAGGGGGTGGAACCAAGAACTGATGCTCATAGGTGGGTAGGGGGTGGAACCAAGGAACGGTGCTCAGAGGTGGGTAGGGGTGGAACCAAGGAACGGTGCTCAGAGGTGGGTAGGGGGTGGAACCAAGGAACGGTGCTCAGAGGTGGGTAGGGGGTGGAACCAAGGAACGGTGCTCAGAGGTGGGTAGGGGGTGGAACCAAGGAACGGTGCTCAGAGGTGGGTAGGGGGTGGAACCAAGGAACGGTGCTCAGAGGTGGGTAGGGGGTGGAACCAAAGGATGCTCATAGGTGGGTAGGGGGGTGGAACCAAGGAACGGTGCTCAGAGGTGGGTAGGGGGTGGAACCAAGGAACGGTGCTCAGAGGTGAAATTATTTATCTGATCATTATATTGTACATGTCGTATGGCGTTCACAGATTGAACATTTACCATATACGACGATTAGTTTCGGCAAAAGTGTTGAGCGATGTCCTTCCTTTTCTCTTGCAAATCGCATTGCTGTTTCGATTGCAAGATGGTTACGAGTTTTTCAGATCATGTCCACTTCCCACATATGAGATGTAAATTGCCTAATGTGAATGTACAGTACTCTCTGCTGATATCCCAGACCACCCGGGGGGATTGAAGGGGACATAAGTGCAGGACGGAATATCCTACCAACAGGGACCTCATAATTCAAACCATTAGCCCGAATGGTCTAATGCAGTGGTCTCCAAACTGCGGTCTGTGGGCCGAATGTTTGCTTTTATCAGGCTGACACCAACGATGAGGCACTATTCCTCCCGCTGACACCATAGTGGAGCACTATTATTATTATACAGGATTTATATAGCGCCAACAGTTTGCTCAGCGCTTTACAATATAAATATCAACTGATACCAACGATTGGGATTCCTTCCACTGACACCAAAGATGAGGCACCCTACTCCCTCTGACACTAAAGACGAATCACTATACCTCCCACTGACACCAATGATGGGGCACTATACCTTTTCCTGACACCGATGATGGGGCGCTATACCTCCCCCAACATGACAAACAATGAGGCACTATAACCTCAACTGATACCAATGATGGGGCACTATTCCTCCCCCACTGACACCAATGATGGGACACTATTCCTCCTCACTGACACCAAAGATGGGGCACTATTCCTCCACTGACACCAATGATGGGGCACTATTCCTTCCACTGAACACAAACAATGGGGCACTATTCCTCCCACTGACACCAATGATGGGCACTATTCCTCCCCACTGACACCAATGATGGGACACTATTCCTCCTCACTGACACCAATGATGGGACACTATTCCTCCCACTGACACCAATGATGGGGCACTATTCCTCCCACTGACACCAATGATGGGGCACTATTCCTCCCACTGACACCAATGATGGGGCACTATTCCTCCCACTGACACCAATGATGGGGCACTATTCCTCCCACTGACACCAATGATGGGGCACTATTCCTCCCACTGACACCAGTGATGGGGCACTATTCCTCCCACTGACACCAATGATGGGGCACTATTCCTCCCACTGACACCAATGATGGGGCACTATTCCTCCCACTGACACCAATGATGGGGCACTATTCCTCCCACTGACACCAACAATGGAGCACTATTCCCTCAACTGACACCAACAATGGGGCACTATTCCTCCTCACTGACACCAACGATGGGGTACTATTCCTCCCACTGACACCAACGATGGGACACTATTCCTCCCACTGACACCAATGATGGGACACTATTCCTCCCACTGACACCAACAATGGAGCACTATTCCCTCAACTGACACCAACGATGGGGAACTACTCCTCCTCCTGCTGACCTCAGATGCTATGTAATTTTTTTTACACTCCCACTGACAGCCAAACCTGAGTCATTTTCTACTCCCAATTGCCACAGTCCGGCCCCTAAAGTCTGAAGGACAGTAAACTAGCCCTTTGTTTAGCACACCCTGGTTTAATGGATCCCCGCGCATACATGGCAGTGACATTCCACTCAGTAATAGGAATTCTATAAAACCAAATCACCCAGAAAGTGATTATCTTTGTATACATCTCCCATCCAATACTTATCAAGGCTGCAGAATTTACTGCCAGTTCTACATACCTTTTGCCACTAGAGGTCGCCACTTCCCTTAAAGTCTTTGTAGATCCTCTGGTCATAGGGAGGGATGGGGGACCCCATTACCGTACCCAAATTCATTGTTCGAACTTTGCCAATCAATCTAATCACTCCACTCACTATGTTTTTGGTAACAAAAACACATCACACACGTCGTCTTCACAATCTGGGGATGAAAGATCAGCTGAAGATCGATCATTTGCTACCCTGCCATCACACTGCGCACTCAGGAGCTGGGAGACGGGGTGCTAAACCCAACAACGTTAACCGAACACCTCTTGCCTCCTCCCCCTTCAGAACGCTGGAATACCTGATGAGGCACCTTTTCCGACTCAGCATGCACAGCGACCGCACAGGGATGCACGCCCGGAACCTCGCTATTATTTGGGCGCCAAATCTGTTACGGTGAGTCCAGGATACAAATTGTACATATTCTTATTGCTTTTTTCCACTTGTGCCTTAAGCTGTGGCCATACACATGTAGATTTTCGGCTGAGAATATTCGTACAGAAATTCTTTGCACATTCGATGAACGCATGAATGTCGCTAGAAAATTGTCCTTTTGGTTTTAACATTCGATTTTAAAATGAATGCGATTTCTGAACGAGAACCACATACACCGGCCAAAAATTCATCTGATGGAGAAAAGTTTTCCTTCTCGCCCCTTCGAATTTTCCCGACGCGGCTGTCGAAAACAAAACATCGATTTGACCCGCCTGCCAACGATTAGAAAATCAAACGAATATTCCTGAAACGAACATTCTTGAACGGAAATCTATACGTGTGTGGCCAGCTTTACTCTTCCTATCGTATTGCAAGTCTTTTGGACTGTTTAAGTCTTCAGAAATAAAAGTGTTCGCCTTGTCAGTAAAAATAGGTGAACATCCTGGACCAGGGGTGGGCAACTGTGGCCCTCCAGCTGTTGGTGAACTACAAGTCCCATCATGCCTCTGCCTTTGGGAGTCATGCTTGTAACTGTCAGTATTGCAATGCCTCATGGGACTTGTAGTTCTACAATAGCTGGAGGGCCACAGTTGCCCACCACTGTCCTAGACAATCCCTAACATGTCCCCCCCCCCCCCCCTATTCTCTAGTAGACAGATAAGAGCACTTCTGATTGGTCAGCGCCAGTGCTGCACCAGTGCACATACCGATGCTGGCCAATCAGAAGCTTTCTGATCAATCCCGGAAGCGCTGTAGAGTGAAGTGGAAGAAGATTTGGGATTTAAAATTTTGCATTGGCACCAATTGCACATAACCCATGGAGGCAAGTACAGCAGGGAACGGGGGGGGGGGTGAGGTGGGGGTGGGTGGTGGTGGGGGGGGGGGGGGGGGGGACAGAGGGGGACAGATGGGTGTAGGGTGTTTCCTTTTTTTTCGAAAAGGTGAAATAACACCCTAGAACATAACCTTTTCACCTCCGCTTATATCATCTAGTACAGGGGTGGGCAACTGTGGCCCTCCAGCTGTTGGTGAACTACAAGTCCCATCATGCCTCTGCCTTTGGGAGTCATGGTCGTAACTGTCAGTTTTGCAATGCCTCATGGGACTTGTAGTTCTACAACAGCTGGAGGGCCACAGTTGCCCACCCCTGTCCTAGACGATCCCTAATGTGTCCCCCCTCCCCCTTCCCCCCCGGTTCCCTATTCTCTAGTGGACAGATAAGAGCACTTCTGATTGGTCAGCGCCAGTGCTGCACCAGTGCACATACCGATGTTGGCCAATCAGAAGCTCTCTGATCGATCCCGGAAGCCCTGTAGAGTGAAGTGGAAGAAGATTTGGGATTTAAAATTTTGCATTGGCACCAATGGCACATAACCCATGGAGGTAAGTACAGCAGGGAACGGGCTGGGGGGGGGGGGGGGGGGGGGGGGGGGGGGATGGGGGGGGGGGGATGGGTGTAGGGTGTTTCCTTTTATTTTTTTTTTTTTTTTTTCGAAAAGGTGAAATAACACCCTAGAGCATAACCTCTTTACCTCAGCTTATATCATCTAGTGCAGGGGTGGGCAACTGTGGCCCTCCAGCTGTTGGTGAACTACAAGTCCCATCATGCCTCTGCCTTTGGGAGTCATGCTTGTAACTGTCAGTTTTGCAATGCCTTATGGGACTTGTAGTTCTACAACAACAGCTGGAGGGCCACAGTTGGCCGCCCCTGATCTAGTGCTCAATTCCATGATTTATTCTATCTTTATTGATCAGCAGAGATGCCGATTGCAATGCCTGCATGTCCTTTCATGATTCAAAAATCAAAATCTGATCTATTATCCTGAAAAAGATAAAATAGTAAACATATGCGACCTGTCAAATATGCTTGGGCACTGAGATCTCGCTTCCGATCTACCCTGAAAAGGAAGTCGACATCTTGGGTACTCATCCAGAAGTTGCTTGCATTTGCGGGTGTGAGCGCCGCACTCCCGATAGCCAAATCTCAAAGAATAATAAGGGATGGGCTCAGCCTCAGCTCCTCCCCAGCCTCTCCCTTTGACACGTTTCGCCCTGCCCCCCCACCCCGGCTTAGTCGTAGAGGAGCTCTGGGGGCAGGACGAAACGCGTCGGTAGTGCAACGCTCCCACAAGAATAATAAACATCTGTTTTATTTATGCTCTGCAGATCCCGGGATATATGGAGACAGCTGGCACACCCGGAGCAGATGCATTTCGTGAAGTGCGAGTTCAGTCTGTCCTGGTGGAGTTTCTCCTTCTCAATGTGGAGACTCTATTTAGTGACACCTTCACATCCATAGGTAAGCGGAAAAGTACTTCTTTGAGCATTATAAACTCTCCTACTGCCTATTTTTTTTTTTTTCCTTTCCAGCATGCGTCCTCTCTCCAGTTGCCTTGGCGCTGAAGCTTGCCAGCTGGCTGTTTTACTTACTGTGATGTAGCTTCACAGGAACTTTGGCTTGATAGGTCAACACTTGATTGAATTTTTTTTTGTTTTTCCTTAAAACTATAAATGCTTGACGGTTTCAAAAAAGTAAAACGAGCACAACATTTTTCCAGCTGCTAAAAATGCTATTGGCTTTCACCTCTCTTGCCCACTTTGATTGCTGTAAACTTCAGGAACGGCAATGGGTGCGACTCAACCCCACTCGTCTTCAAATGGATTGTTGCTGGCAATATTGTTCCAAAATAAAAAAGTAATAATACGTTTGCATCATCCAGGGCAGTTTCTGCTTTTTTCCTTCATTGATCGCGCTTGCCTATCTTTCGAGCACCAACTTTTGGTTTTCTGCCATGGGTGAACCGATGGCTCCTATTTATTTTTTTGTCTCGCACTGTGCTGACTTTGCTGTCTTGTCTTCTGCTTAAACCCTTCTCTAAATGCTGGCTCTTGCCATATATCCCAGCGTGGCTTCTCTTCTTCTTGCACAGCCACATGCCTCACCCTTCCTAATTCTTTGGAGCTTGAAGATGACCAGAAAGCCTTGTAAAAAAAAAAAAAATCCCCATGGTTGTCTATCTTTTGTTTCTCATTTCTTGCCCTCTTCTATCAGCAAAAGGATCCGGCTTACGTAGAGGATCCTGCACGTCCGTGAGGCTCCGCCTGCTATCATTACCTGAAGCATGGTACCAAGTGAAGAAGAAGACTTGTGCCTCCCAAATTCCAAATGAAGAAAATGTCCACATACCAGAGGCTTCGCTCCAGGCTGACACTTAGTGGCACCACCCAGTATATCCATATTTTTTTTTTTTTTAAATCAATTGAAGGAATTGAAAGCTCATCGGTACTAGCAGGGAACTTGGGTTGGTCCGACCCATGAATGTTACCTTTGAGGTACAGAGAAGTAACAAAAATCCTAAAACGTTCTTCAAACAAGAAGCCTAAATCTAGCTGATCTTAGGGACTTTTGGGACTTGGTGGCCAAAACTCTAGCTCTGTTTTTTTTTTTTTTTTTTTTTTTTTTTAAGTATCACATCTGCATGAAGCAGCAGATGATACAATTTTCCCAGGTGACACAATTGGATTGAAATAATAGGGTATGGCAGATGTTAGAATGAGTGATTGAAAGTGTATGAAGAGATGGATTTCAGGTGATCTATAAAAGTACTTGTAAAGGACAAAACGTTTATCAGTGGGGCAACTCTTACCTCTCTCGAATATTCGTTCTTGGGAGACAGACATGTTAGAAATGGTCACCTGATCTCTGTTTTTATTCCTATCCAAAAAAAAGCTAGCGCTGGCACCTTCCCCGTCACCTAAGTGGAAATGCCCATTTGACCAGAGTTCTATTTTCGGGCAAGGATATCAGGTTGGTCAGATTGAAAAAAAAAAAAACGTTCTTTGATGGCTTGGACAACTTTAGAATGTTCTCTTCTTCACTCTACTGTCAGTGTTTGACACAGAATGCTCTTCTTTACATTGTAGCCTTGGAAAAGAAGGAAAGAATCCAAAGAATTGCGAGTTTGAAGGTAGGTTTAAAAGCCATTAATTGAAAGTAGCAACATGGACACCAAACCAATGCGTTTCGGGGGAAAGCACTCCCTCTTCTTCAGGGCTGTTGCTGAATGCTATTAGATGGGAATGGTTATGCAATGCTAGATGGCAGGCTGCCTCTACAACTCTAGCTGCCACTCTGTTTGCCTGCTTCCTGAAATCTTTTCAAATAATTTGTCCGGTTTGGGAGTCCTTCCCTTCTAATAGCATGCATCAACAGCCCTAAAGTTGGGGGGAGTCCTTTTCCCTGAAAAGCGTTGACTTGATTTACATATTGCTACGTTCAATAAATAGCAGAGGAAGGAGAAGGGTCCTCCTAGCAGAGGAAGGAGAAGGGTCCTCCTAGCAGAGGAAGGAGAAGGGTCCTCCTAGCAGAGGAAGGAGAAGGGTCCTCCTAGCAGAGGAAGGAGAAGGGTCCTCCTAGCAGAGGAAGGAGAAGGGTCCTCCTAGCAGAGGAAGGAGAAGGGTCCTCCTAGCAGAGGAAGGAGAAGGGTCCTCCTAGCAGAGGAAGGAGAAGGGTCCTCCTAGCAGAGGAAGGAGAAGGGTCCTCCTAGCAGAGGAAGGAGAAGGGTCCTCCTAGCAGAGGAAGGAGAAGGGTCCTCCTAGCACAGGAAGGAGAAGGGTCCTCCTAGCACAGGAAGGAGAAGGGTCCTCCTAGCACAGGAAGGAGAAGGGTCCTCCTAGCACAGGAAGGAGAAGGGTCCTCCTAGCACAGGAAGGAGAAGGGTCCTCCTAGCACAGGAAGGAGAAGGGTCCTCCTAGCACAGGAAGGAGAAGGGTCCTCCTAGCACAGGAAGGAGAAGGGTCCTCTTAGCACAGGAAGGAGACGGGTCCTCAGGAGAGGATCCTCAGGAGACGGGTCCTCTAGCAGAGGAAGGAGACGGGTCCTCTAGCAGAGGAAGGAGACGGGTCCTCGGGAGACGGGTGCTCTAGCAGAGGAGGGAGACGGGTGCTTTAGCAGAGGAAGGAGACGGGTGCTCTAGCAGAGGAAGGAGACGGGTGCTCTAGCAGAGGAAGGAGACGGGTGCTCTAGCAGAGGAAGGAGACGGGTGCTCTAGCAGAGGAAGGAGACGGGTGCTCTAGCAGAGGAAGGAGACGGGTGCTCTAGCAGAGGAAGGAGACGGGTCCTCCTAAACCTTTAAACCTACCTCCAAGCTTGCGATTATTTGGACACCAGGTACTCCTTCCTGCTTTTCCAAGTCTACATGTGGACACGACGATAAGGCCTTTTCCAAAAGGCAGCAGCCCAAGCCCCAAGAAGGTTCACCACCACCACCATTCTCCATTGGGCACAACCTACTGTAAGGAATTTCTTCCTGTTCGCCCACACACTTACCCACCCACGACCAATGACCGATCCGGTCAGTTCAGTGCGGTCTCTAGCACAAACGAGCTACTTTACATTGTATAATTCTGAATATGTGTTGGGCGGCCAAATGATTGGTTTTTAGAATGTTGCAGAATAACTTGTGATGACTTGTTGGCATTTTTTTTTTCTGTCTTTATTTATTCTGGAATTGTGTTTAGTAAACGTCCTCCTGTTGTGTTATCTTCGTATGCCTCCTATCTCTTACATGGGTCCAGAAAAACATCACAACTGCCATATTTTGTGTCTGGATGAATTGTGCTGAAAGAAGTTTGTGATTTCGAGATGACCAGAGTTGATAATAAACCTCTCAACAACGTGTCAGTCCTTCACTTTGCATTTGTCCTATAGGAGTAGTATTGAAATAGATAACCGTACGCAAAATTAGAGTACTGCACAGATATCGCAAAGCAGGATAGTTCAGGAGTTAGAGCAAGGAGCGGAGTCCTCCAGCAGAGGAAGGAGCGGAGTCCTCCAGCAGAGGAAGGAGCGGAGTCCTCCAGCAGAGGAAGGAGCGGAGTCCTCCAGCAGAGGAAGGAGCGGAGTCCTCCAGCAGAGGAAGGAGCGGAGTCCTCCAGCAGAGGAAGGAGCGGAGTCCTCCAGCAGAGGAAGGAGCGGAGTCCTCCAGCAGAGGAAGGAGCGGAGTCCTCCAGCAGAGGAAGGAGCGGAGTCCTCCAGCAGAGGAAGGAGCGGAGTCCTCCAGCAGAGGAAGGAGTGGAGTCCTCCAGCATTAGAGTATTTCAGGAAAGGAGAGTTAGAGGAAGAAGTGGGGTCTTCCAGAGAGAGGAAGAAGTGGGGTCTTCCAGAGAGAGGAGGAAGTGGGGTCTTCCAGAGAGAGGAAGAAGTGGGGTCTTCCAGAGAGAGGAAGAAGTGGGGTCTTCCAGAGAGAGGAAGAAGTGGGGTCTTCCAGAGAGAGGAAGAAGTGGGGTCTTCCAGGGAGAGGAAGAAGTGGGGTCTTCCAGGGAGAGGAAGAAGTGGGGTCTTCCAGGGAGAGGAAGAAGTGGGGTCTTCCAGGGAGAGGAAGAAGTGGGGTCTTCCAGGGAGAGGAAGAAGTGGGGTCTTCCAGGGAGAGGAAGAAGTGGGGTCTTCCAGGGAGAGGAAGAAGTGGGGTCTTCCAGGGAGAGGAAGAAGTGGGGTCTTCCAGGGAGAGGAAGAAGTGGGGTCTTCCAGGGAGAGGAAGAAGTGGGGTCTTCCAGGGAGAGGAAGAAGTGGGGTCCTCCAGCAGTGGAAGGAGAAGAGTCAGCCAGCAGTGCAGAGTGTTTCAGGACAGTTAGGTGGAGGAAGGAACAGAGTCCTCCAACAGTGTAGAGTATTTCAGGAGAGGACAGTTCGATAGGGGAAGAAGCAAGGTCCTCCAGCAGAGGAAGGAGAATTGTCCTCCAGATTGAGGAAGAAGCAGAGTCCTCCAGCAGAGGAATGAGAAGAGTCCTCCAGAGAGAGAACGGTGCATAGCAGATTTGGGAGAGGAGAGTTATAGAGGAAGGAGCGGAGTCCTCCAGCAGAGCAGAGTATTTCAGGAGAGGAGAGTTATAGAGGAAGGAGCGGAGTCCTCCAGCAGTGCAGAGTATTTCAGGAGAGGAGAGTTATAGAGGAAGGAGCGGAGTCCTCCAGCAGTGCAGAGTATTTCAGGAGAGGAGAGTTACAGAGGAAGGAGCGGAGTCCTCCAGCAGTGCAGAGTATTTCAGGAGAGGAGAGTTATAGAGGAAGGATCGGAGTCCTCCGGCAGCGCAGAGTATTTCAGAGAGAGGAGAGTTATAGAGGAAGGAGAGCAGTCCTCCGGCAGCGCAGAGTATTTCAGGAGAGGAGAGTTATAGAGGAAGGAGCGGAGTCCTCCAGCAGTGCAGAGGTATTCAGGAAAGTTACGTAAAAAGCTCCTTATTAGGACCGACAACCTGGATATGGTTCCATAAATCTAGTACATACTTCTGATTAATACTACCTGGTATAAAGTATTTTTTTTTTTATACTGCAAAGCGACTCCCCTGCACACCTCCTTCCACCACACGCCGAGCCAGCTAACAGCCCATACATTTTTCGTTTCTTGTACGAGGCAAGCTCAGCTATGACAGGGCAGCCGACCACAAGACATCTATGAAGGTTTTTTTTTTTCCTCATATAAGTAAAGTGGAGCCATGAACAGTGCGCCATTTTTAATCTTTATTGATGTTTTCAGCAAATGTTTATAACTAAATTTTCTATCCTAGTCTAGAAATGTTTCCTATTTGCCCCACCCCCACTGCAGATGAAAGGTACAGTATCCTCCATAACTACTCCTATGTCCAGCACAGAGCTATGCACAGTGTATGTGTTATCCTCTGCACAGCATTTGAGTACAGCTAGGTGGCGCCTTGCAACTGTCCTTTTTTTTTTTTTTTTTTTTTCTTCTTTCTCCGGTGCCGGAACGCACCAAACTCACCATGCCTCTCCTTCATTGACTTTGCACATGTCCTTTTTGTCTGCCGCTGAATAGCCGGGTTACTGAAGTATGAAAGGATTGCTGCACTGTATAAATAAAGCTGAGTGAAGAGGGACATTGCATTGGTACCAAAGGCTTTGCTTTGCAAGCTTGCTTCGCCATAACTTCCATTTTAAAAAAATAAAAATGGTTCTAGGATGGCAAGCCATGGTAGGACTATGAACCACTCTGCAGCGTGCGGCTTCCCCAGGGGTGTGGATATATAGCAGAGTTACTTTGCATACATCGGATAAGACTGGATTTTTGTTTTAGAGCTCTCTATAATAGTGGTTGTCGAAATACAAGGGGTAGGGGGCCTCAGTTGTGGCCCCAGACAGCTACAAAGGGCCACACATACAGTATAATCACCGGACACTTTATTAGGTCCACCTGTTCAATTGCTTAGTAACACAAATTGCTAATCAGCCAATCATATGACAGCAACTCAATGCATTTAGGCATCTAGACGTGGTGAAGACGACTTGCTGAAGTTCAAACTGAGCATCAGAATGGGGAAGGAAGGGGATTTAAGTGACTTTGAACGTGGCATGGTTGTTGGTGCCAGACGGGCTGGTCTGAGTATTTCAAAAACTGCTGATCTACTGGGATTTTCACGTACAACCATCTCTAGGGTTTTACAGAGAATGGTCTGAAAAATAGAAAATATCCAGTGAGTGGCAGTTGTGTGGAGGAAAATGCCTTGTTGATGTCATTGGGGAATGGGCAGACAGTTGCTGCGACATTCAGATGGTAGGGTCAGAATTTGGTATAAACAACATGAAAGCATGGATCCATCCTACCTTGTATCAACGGTTCTGGCTGGTGGTGTCATGGTGTGGGGGACCCATCCTGCCTTGTATCAACGGTTCAGGCTGGTGGTGGTGATGTCATGGTGTGGTGGATCCATCCTGCCTTGTATCAACGGTTCAGGCTGGTGGTGGTGGTGTCATGGTGTGGGGGACCCATCCTGCCTTGTATCAACGGTTCAGGCTGGTGGTGGTGATGTCATGGTGTGGTGGATCCATCCTGCCTTGTATCAACGGTTCAGGCTGGTGGTGGTGGTGTCATGGTGTGGTGGATCCATCCTGCCTTGTATCAACGGTTCAGGCTGGTGGTGGGGGACCCATCCTGCCTTGTATCAACGGTTCAGGCTGGTGGTGGTGGTGTCATGGTGTGGTGGATCCATCCTGCCTTGTATCAATGGTTCAGGCTGGTGGTGGTGGTGTCATGGTGTGGTGGATCCATCCTGCCTTGTATCAATGGTTCAGGCTGGTGGTGGTGGTGTGTGGTGGTGTCATGGTGTGGTGGATCCATCCTGACTTGTATCAATGGTTCAGGCTGGTGGTGGTGGTGTCATGGTGTGGTGGATCCATCCTGCCTTGTATCCTTGTATCAATGGTTCAGGCTGGTGGTGTCATGGTGTGGGGGGAAATGTTCTTGGCAGTATTAAGGTGGACCTAATAAAGTGCCTGGTGAGTGTATTGTTCAGTATACAACAGAAGACAGAAGAAAGCCTATGAAAAAGGTACCAGGGGCATGTCATGGGGCCCCTTACTGACCCCGGGCCCTCGGGCAGTGCCCAAGTTTCCAAATGGTCAGTCCACCCCTGGTTCAGAGACTTCAGACTTACTACAGGAGACGATCGGAGACTTCAGACTTAGTACAGGACAGGGGCGGACTGACAACTCATGGGGCCCCTGGGCAATAGGGGATCATGGGGCCCCTGTGTCCTTGCCCACACTCAAAAAGGTACTAGGGGCATTTCATGGGGCCACCTACTGACCCTGGGCCCTCAGGCATGCCCAAGTTTTTGAATGGTCAGTCTGTCCCTGGTACAGGAGATAATTGGAGACTTCAGACTCTCTAGAAATTGCTTCCCCTACTGACTGCCGGGTCCTTTGACAGGCCATACAGCAAGAACCACATGGCCTCCTGTGGCCCTCAGGCCACAGGTTGGACACCAAGGCTCTACAACTTATATATTGCTGTGTCTGCTGGAAATAATTTTCCCTTTTGCTTTAGTACTTTGAGTGACTGACTACTGATGCGTTTCAGTCTGTTAGAGTTCATTGGAGTGAAATGTGTCTGGCAGGACGTGTATGCCTCTGAACAATAAAGTTTATTCAAAGCCATACTACACAGAGGGAGTTCCCGTACATATAATGTCCTGGTCTCTGGAGCATTAGTGGCTCCTTTCACACAGTCGCCGTGGCCAATCCTTTACATTAAACCTTGTCTGTGACTTTGCAGGTCGCTGTGGTCCTATCAGGCCCCGATCGCTGCTTGGAGGATGCCCATCCGGACGTCTCGTCAGCCTGCAGGAGGCCCAGGCACGCAGCCAGAGCCAAAGGGAGGCCGCGGAGAAGCTGGGGGCTGAGAAAACCTCACCCAACAAACAGGAGAAGGCGCTGGAGAGCAGCGATGAAAGGTGCCCACCGGAATTAAGTGTACTGTTCATACCGGCCACCTTGGCATCGGCATTAGGGCAGGGATTTTCACGGGGCAGCTTCCAATACATTGCCCCTTCACATCTTGTTATATTTTTTTCATTTACGAAAGAACCAGACAATAAATGTAATCTACACTGGAGAACAAAAAAAATATATATGTATTTTGGTGATCCCCAAAAACCCCTCTCGGGGCCTGTAGTTTTGTCCCTTACCGTTTGTTATGCAGGTAATGGTGGGTTTTACTTGTATGATGGTTTACAAAGTCCTCTGTCCTTTGCAGGAAAGGTCCGCGTAGCAGGAAGAAGTCAGGCGGTGGAAGCAGCTGGAGAACCTTCTTCGCTATCGGCAAAAACTCCTCGCAGCAGAAAAAGTCCCGCCTCCGGGAGAGTGCCGCACACCAAAGAGGTGACAATATAGGGCTCTTATTGGTCCCCTGAGAAGCCTGCCCCTCCTAGTAAGACTAGTCATGCCCCCTCTGTCCATGAGTCAGGCTCCTCATTGGGTCAGGTGATCGGCTATCTAGAACTATAGATGTGCGCACAGGGTGTGCCAGGTGTGTGCCTAGGCACACCGTAATTACCCCGTGCGGTGTTGATTCCCCCTACTGCCCAGATCCCCCTATATTTCCCTACACTGTCCTCTGCCCTTCCGACACCGCCCTCTGCCCTTCCGACACCGTCCTCTGCCCTTCCGACACCGCCCTCTGCCCTTCCGACACCGCCCTCTGCCCTTCCGACACCGTCCCCTGCCCTTCCCGACACCGTCCCCTGCCCTTCCCGACACCGTCCCCTGCCCTTTCCGACACCGTCCCCTGCCCTTTCCGACACCGTCCCCTGCCCTTTCCCACACCGTCCCCTGCCCTTTCCGACACCGTCCCCTGCCCTTTCCGACACCGTCCCCTGCCCTTTCCGACACCGTCCCCTGCCCTTTCCGACACCGTCCCCTGCCCTTTCCGACACCGTCCCTGCTGCCCTTTCCCACACCGTCCCCTGCCCTTTCCCACACCGTCCCCTGCCCTTTCCGACACCGTCCCCTGCCCTTTCCGACACCGTCCCCTGCCCTTTCCGACACCGTCCCCTGCCCTTTCCGACACCGTCCCCTGCCCTTTCCGACACCGTCCCCTGCCCTTCCCGACACCGTCCCCTGCCCTTCCCGACACCGTCCCCTGCCCTTCCCGACACCGTCCCCTGCCCTTCCCGACACCGTCCCCTGCCCTTCCCACACCGCCTTCTGCCCTTCCCACACCGCCCTCTGACCTACTGACCAAATACACCTGTGTGTTTGCGCTCTGGGGTGCACACCCTAATGCCGCAGGCTGTGCACACCTACGTCCATAACCATGCCCAGTCCATATTCCTCCCAGAAGTCAACTGTAGACTAATAGTAGTATTTAGTTCCAGTCCCTTCACAGCCATGGTCACAAAATGAAAATGAAGCTGCCCCACAGTGTACTAAGATCTGGACTAGTTTCACTCTTGCAAAATTTTGGTAAAATTGCAGCCTATACAATGCATTGCAATCCACTAGGAAATAGAAGCTGCATGCTTGGGGTGCCTTAAACGGCTTATTTTTTAGGCTGAATTCACGTCAACGCATTAACATGTTTTAATGAACAGAATTTAACGACATTACACCAGGAAATATTTTTTTTTCCTTCATTTTTTATTTTGTTTTGTTGCGATTTACTGTTATTTTTAAATTAAGGGAAAAAAATTGCAAATGCAAAGCAACGTGGGAAAGTGTTGTTTTTTTTTTTTTTCTGAGCAGTCTCCAATTTAAAGGCTAATTTTTCAGAAAATTTCTGTAGATCTCACGTTTCCCTCTAATTGAGATATTAATTAAGCTAATAGCACTAAAAGCATAGCTGATGATGAGCTGAAGTCAATGGGCATCCCTATTTAAACCCTCAAGGAAGCTCTCCTCCAATATTCTGCTCCAGTGGTGGAGACCGTCACCTCGGGATCCTTGTCAGAGAGCTGTGTTCAGGCTGCTCGTTCAACTATTTCAGCTAAAATATCATACTTCCACAAGGGCCCTTAGGTTGCTCCATTCACCACTGGAGCGGAACAATTGGAAAACTTCCTTGAGGGATCAGATCGGAATACACATTTACTTCAGCTCATTATCCGCTTTAGATTGGCTAGTTATATAGAGAGAGATATACAGATAGTGAGAGGTAGATAAAGAATAAAAGAATGATAGAGTGCCATCAACCTCCACAGTGTTCCCCAAACTTCTACAGTGACCCCGAGAGCCCCGAAGCTCTACATTGCCCCCAACCAAACCTCCCACAGCACTTCCAGAGAGTCCTTGCCTCCACAGTGACTTCCAACTTCCCATAATGGCCCACAGTGCCTTCAGGGAGCTTCCAACCTCCCACAGTACCTCCCATTGTGGTCCACAGTGCTTCCAGAGAGCCCTGAACCTCCACAGTGCTCCCCAAACTCCCCCAGTGGCCCACAGTGCTTCCAGAGAGTCCTCAACCTCCCACAGTGCCTTCCAACCTCCCACTGTGTCCCACTGTGCCTCCAGAGAGCCTCCAACCTCCCACAGTGCCTCCCAACCTTCCATAGTGGACCACATTGCCTCCAGAGGGCCCTGAATCTCCACAGTGCCCCCAAACATCCCACATCACTTCCAGAGAGCACTTAGCCTCCACAGTGACTTCCAAACTCCCATAATAGCCCAGAGTGCCTTCCAACCTCTGAGTGCCTCTCATAGTGGCCCACAGCACCTCCAGAGAGCCTTAGCCTCCACAGTGACTTCCAATTTCCCATAGTGGCCCACAGTGCCTTCACATAGCCCCCAACCTCCCACAGTGCTTCCCATAGTGGCCTAGATTACCTCCAGAGAGCTCTTAGCCTCCACAGTGACTTCCAACGTCCCATAGTGGCCCTCAGTGCCTTCAGAGAGCCCCCAACCTCCTACAGTGCCTCCCAACCTCCCACAGTGCCTTCCATAGTGGCCCACAGCACATCCAGAGAGCCCTTAGCCTCTACAGTAACTTCCGACTTCCCATAGTGGCCCACAGTGCCTTCAGAGAGCCTCTAACCTCTCACAGTGCTTCCTAACCTCCCACAGTGCCTCCCATAGTGGCCTACAACACCCCCGGAGAGCCCTCAGCCTCCACAGTGACTTTCAACTTTCCATAGTAGGCCACAGTGCCTTAAGAGAACTCCCAACCTCCCACAGTGCTTCCAGAGTGCCCTCACCTCCATAGTGCCCCTCCACCACCCACAGTGGCCCACACCACCTCCAGAGAGCCCTTAGCATCCACAGTTACTTCCAACTTCCCATAGTGGCCCACAGTGCCTTCAGAGAGCCTCTAACCTCTCAGTGCTTCCTAACCTCCCACAGTGCTTCACATAGTGGCCCACAGCACCTCCGGAGAGCCATTAGCCTCCACAGTGACTTCCAACTTCCCATAGTGGCCCACAGTGCCTTTAGAGAACTCCCAACCTCCTACAGTGCCTCCCAACCTCCCACAGTGCCTTCCATAGTGGCCCACAGCACCTCCAGAGAGCCCTTAGCCTCCACAGTTACTTCCAACTTCCCATAGTGGCCCACAGTGCCTTCAGAGAGCCTCTCACAGTGCCTCCTAACCTCCCCCAGTGCCTCCCATAGTGGCCCACAACACTCCCGGAGAGCCATTAGCCTCCACAGTGACTTCCAACTTCCCATAGTGGCCCACTGTGCCTTTAGAGAACTCCCAACCTCCTACAGTGCTTCCAGAGTGCCCCCACCTCCACCTATTGATTCGTTTGTCGTGTCACTACACTCCTTACCCTCCCTCTCTCAGCAGTGTCCGAAACTGTCACGCTGCGGTCAGCGAAAAGCGAGGAGTCGCTCTGCTCTCATACCAGCGGGACGGGTAAGTGTCTCTGAGAATGAGTCTCATGTGAACAATGAATTAATAAAATTTTTTATTAAAGATCTTTATTAAAATAATGAATTTTTCATATAGAAGAGTCTGTCTGCAGCGCAGAGCATTTCAGCAGAGGAAGGAGCAGAGTCCTTCGGCAGTGCAGAGTATTTCAGGAGAGGAGAGGTATAGAGGAAGGAGCGGAGTCCCCCAGCAGCGCAGAGTATTTCAGGAGAGGAGTTATAGAGGAAGGAGCGGAGTCCTCCAGCAGTGCAGAGTATTTCAGGAGAGGAGGGTTATAGAGGAAGGAGCGGAGTCCTCCAGCAGAGTATTTCAGGAGAGGAGAGTTATAGAGGAAGGAGCGGAGTCCTCCAGCAGAGCAGAGTATTTCAGGAGAGGAGTTATAGAGGAAGGAGCGGAGTCCTCCAGCAGTGCAGAGTATTTCAGGAGAGGAGAGTTATAGAGGAAGGAGCGGAGTCCTCCAGGAGCGCAGAGTATTTCAGGAGAGGAGAGTTGTAGAGGAAGGAGCGGAGTCCTCCAGCAGTGCAGAGTATTTCAGGAGAGGAGTTATAGAGGAAGGAGCGGAGTCCTCCAGCAGTGCAGAGTATTTCTGGAGAGGAGAGTTATATAGAGGAAGGAGCGGAGTCCTCCAGCAGCACAGAGTATTTCAGGAGAGGAGAGTTATAGAGGAAGGAGCGGCGTCCTCCAGCAGCACAGAGTATTTCAGGAGAGGAGAGTTATAGAGGAGGGAGCGGAGTCCTCCAGTAGAAGAGATGGTCGGTGACTGCAGACATGCTGCTGGAGACTTTCAGAGATTGTGGGCATGTTATAGGAGGTCTTGGAGACTGGGGACATTCTGGAGGAGACCATTTCTTGAAGGTGGAGTCAAAATTGGCCACCTCCCTGTTCCTCACATAGGAGACTTCCGTTAATCTGGATTTTTCTATTGATGATTTTTCGGTTGAATCCCTCCAGTTTTTGGGAAGAGAGCTCAAAGAGTTTTTATGGTCAATTTAAAACTGCCAACACATTTCTGGGGGTTCAAGAGGCCCCGTTCATCAGGGCTACAATACAACGGATAGGACTTGCGTTAGTACTACATTTTGATATAAATTCTTCGTTGATAAAACAAGATGCTCATTGGCTGACTGAATTCCGCCTACTATATCGTGCTTTCATTTTTTTTTTTTTTTCTCCTCTACTAGTGGGATTTCACCGGACGTCACGCCTACGCCGGCCACGCTCAACGAGTGACGGGCTTTCTTCTAGACTTCCTCACTGCCGTTCAGCAGAGAGCTTGGCCCAGTCGACCCCTTCTCCTCCATGTGTGCCCTCACCTCCTCCCAACTCTGCCCGCCCCCAGTCTGCATGGATTGAGGAGGATTTGGACCTCTCCCCACCTCTTCCTGACACTGATGGACTTGGCTTTGACCCCCTCTCCTTCCGACTCTCATTCTCTGATCATGAAGACCCTAAATCTCCAACCATGGTCAAGGCGGACATTATCAGTCAGGGTCCATCTCAATCCCTTCAGAGCCGGGT